GATTTTCTGGATGGAATCTTTAGGTTTTAAAGATAAGATCAGCTAGAAATCGGACTATTTGATTCATATTTTATGGTAACTGAATTTGGTTTAGGTAGGATTATTTGATGTCCCACACACAGATCGAACAGTTTGGTGTCTAATTTTGGCAGCTAAAAATTTTATGAAAGCGTTCTGTTTGGCTCAGGCTATTTTCTAATGTAGAGTTTTATTTTGTTTTTTTATCAAAGGGAGTTGCTGGGCATTCTCCACTGTTGGCGCAGTGGAAGGGATAAACCAAATTGTAACTGGTAACTTGACATCTCTGTCAGAACAGGAGTTGGTGGATTGCGATAAGACATATAACCTGGGATGCAATGGAGGTCTCATGGACTATGCCTTCGATTTTATTATTGAGAATGGTGGTATTGATACCGAAGAAGATTACCCCTACAAGGCTATTGATAGCATGTGTGATCCAAATAGGGTATCTTGAATCGTTTTCCCTCCTCAAGTTTCATGTTATAGAAAATTAATATTTGATCTTTAGTCTGATCGGGATGTTGCTTATCCTTAATGTACTTGATCATTTTGTTTTTGCAGAAAAATGCTCGAGTTGTTACAATTGATGGTTATGAAGACGTTCCACAAAATGACGAGAAGTCATTAAAGAAGGCTGTGGCAAATCAACCTGTTAGTGTTGCCATTGAAGCTGGTGGAAGGGATTTCCAACTCTACCAATCTGTAAGCCCTGCACCCCATCTTACCAACCATTTTTATGCTTTGGCATCAAGGCTTAACTATGAAATTGTACAAATTATAATTTGTTTGTAATACATAATAGGCGAAAGCCTGACTCATTAACCTTCGTAGCCTTGTTACCAGAATGCATCATTTATAGTTCACTAGCTTGGAAGCAAGAAACATTTGAATTCTGAATGGGGCAATTTCCCACAAACTGAATTTTAAGTAGTCTTGTGCACGTTAATTGATTACATAGTCTTATGTTTCTTTTCTTCTTTGTTCAGGGTGTTTTTACTGGGTCATGTGGAACACAGCTAGACCATGGTGTGGTTACTGTTGGGTATGGTACAGAGCATGGTGTAGATTACTGGATTGTGAGGAACTCATGGGGTCCTGCTTGGGGAGAGAATGGGTACATCAGGATGGAGCGTGATGTTGCCAGCACTGAAACTGGAAAGTGTGGAATAGCAATGGAAGCTTCATATCCCACCAAGAAGTCTGCAAATCCCCCTAATCCTGGGCCGTCCCCTCCATCTCCAGTGAACCCTCCACCTCCAGAAAAGCCTTCCTCAGAGTGCGATGATTACTACTCATGCCCTGCTGGAAGCACATGCTGCTGCATATATCAGTACGGTGACTATTGCTTTGGATGGGGGTGCTGCCCTCTGGAGTCTGCAACTTGCTGCGACGACCATTACAGCTGCTGCCCTCACGAGTATCCTGTCTGTGACCTTCAAGCTGGAACCTGCCGAATGGTAAGTATAGTCACCTATTCCTTTAAAGACAATTTTAATGAGTTTGTGAAGGCAGCTTCTGAAATTTTAACCTTGTATGCTGCTGATATGTTACAGAGCAAGAGCAATCCATTTGGCGTTAAGGCGTTGACTCGAGCTCCTGCTAGAATTAATCAGTCTCACCAGCTTGGTGGTAGGAGGCGAGCTGGTAGGAGGTTCAGCCCTGCTTGAGATAATCCTAGGTCGTTAAGGGTCTGCTAGAGCAATATGTGGGCTAAGGTTGACCTTGTTTAGTTCAGCGAAATTTATCATCTAGTTTTTCATTACTTGTAAATTCTTTAAATTGTCTGCTGAGGAAGATGCTATAAACTTACGATTGGATCGCCTCCATTTGTAAATAATCATCATCAACGATTGATTCCCTTCAATTCTGATTTTCGTTTATGATGGTGTTTGTGGGGCTCATTGCTTAGAATCACTGCCCGCTATTCAGTTGTCTGATGAAACCCCGACGTGCACGATTGGTATCCTTCATCCATATAGAAAAAGCAAAAACTAGCTTGAAAAAATAATAAAATATAAAATAACGACGAAAAAGCTGGCTACTCCCCGGTTGTAACTATGCTTTTTGCCCTTTCAGAGAGTGGTGTTGGGTTCCTGGCTGCAGCTGCAGCTGATTTTTCTTTCTTTCTATTCTTTTTAAAGAGGGGTTACCAGTCACTGAGTCAATGGCAGCCATATCCAAAGGCACAACTAATCACAGATAAATAAATAAATATGATAGCTGTCTTTGTAGCCAAATAAGGAAACATTGGTAAGCGAGAATAATTTGTAGCTAAATAAGCAAAAACCAAGAATTTGTTGCCATTTTTTCTGTAAATTATGAACTACAAGAAAGGATTTTATCAATAGAAAAATGAAAATTATTTTTTAGAACAAGTTTTTTCTATTTTTCTTTTCTTCTAAAAAAGAATCTAAAATATTAAAAAAAAAATTAAAATCCCTACCATAAAAAGTAAGGATATGTGTTTTATTAGTATGATTTTATGCGCATTTATTGTATTAAAAAAAAAGTCAAACCAAATCCTTGTTCTCTATCTTAAAATTTTTATATTTAATAAATATGTTAATTAAAATATATACAGGTTAATTATTTTTTTATGAAAAAATTTCAATGGAACTATTTTCTTAACGTGAATAGGGATTTTCCCTTTCTATTTTTGGGTTATAATAAGAATCTTTAACATTATCCCTCGACAAGAAAAACTAAAAAATGAAGGGTTTTTACTAACTTTGTTTTTTTTTTTTTGTTTTTTTAGTTAATGTTTTTTTATTTCACCATCTAATATTAGATTTATTTTTTATTGGTTTATCTTACTTTCATAACATCAATCATAAATTTGACAAGTTAATTTGATTCACTCAATTTTTTTTTCTTAAATTAACTTTTTTTTAATTTTATTATTTAATATTAAATTGATTGAGAATTAAACTATATGATTTGTTTTATTTGCTTTCTATTAGGTTACTCCGACATCATGACTCGAAAATAGTGTTTAACGGTTTAACTTGAGTTGATTTAAGTTTTTTTTGTATATTTTTTAAACTGAAGAGGGGTTTTTAATGCATCCCTCATCAGAAAAACATTATTCATTTGAATATGTTTGTTTTTTTTCAATTAATTTTTTTCAATTATTATTTAATATTAGATTTGTTTTTTATTGAGTTATTTAATTTTCATGACACGAATCACAAGGGTAGCAGGTTAATTTAGATGGCTTAAGTTTTTTTCTTAATTAACTTTTATTTTCTACTTCCATCCTTTGATATTTGATTGACTGAGAATTAAATATCATTATTTATTTGGTTTGTTTTCTATTAGGTTATTTTGACATCATACATGAAAATAATGCCTAACGAGTTAACTCGAGTTAACTTTAGTCATTTTTTATGTTTTTTTTAATAGAATTTTTATATAATTTCATCATATGCAACATTGGATCAATTGATAATTAAGATTAGTAATTTATTTTAATTTTATTTATTGAAAGACATATTGATCTCATAATTAGGGTTGCGTGTTTTAGTATTTAACCCTAGTTGAATCAAATTTGAAAAGTTAACCAAGTTTAAATAGTGTTTTTTTTTAAATGTTATCCTAGTCTTATAGATTGAATTATGAGTTTATCAGATTAACTTAGATTTTGTTTAGGTTCTTTACTTAATTGATTTTTTTTTAAGCTCGTTCTTCAAAACTAGGCTGATTTAAAATTAAATTTTATAATTTATTTTAATTTGCTTCCTATAAGTTTTTCAGTTTTATAACATTGATCATAAGTTTGATAAGTTAACTTGAATAACTTTTTTAGATCTTTTTAATTGATTTTTTTTTAATTTCACTATTTAATATTGGGTTGACTGAGAATTAAGTTTTTATAATTTATTTTTATTTGTTTTTTATAGAGTTATCATAATTTTATAATCGGAGTTGTGAATTTAATATGTTGACACAGATCAATCTATATATATTGTTATTTTAATATTAGAAAAGGATATCATCTTGAAATGTTTTTAGTTCAACTTTATTTTTATATATCATTTTGAATTATTTTTGGACTCATAAAATCTACTGAGTCATATTAAATTAACTCTTATATAATTTAAAATATTTTACTAATAATTTAATAATTTTTAAATAATTTTTTATATTAAAAAAATTTAACCCGACTCACACCACCACTTATCAGTATGATGTGGTATGTGATTTATTTATGCTAACTACTAAATTAACAATTTTCTAAACGGTACCGTTTCCTTGCGCCTGGTCTTCTCTGACACCCCGCCCCTGTAAAATGGTCAATGTGCATTCCCCATATGTCTCTACCGTTGGATCACAACAAAAGACAATCAGCAATCACCATCACGCTTACTATTTTTGATAACCAATTGACCAAACCGATCACGTGAAGTAACGCGATCACCAACAAACAATTTCATTTCATTAACTGATAACCTCAATCTCCATAAATCCCGCCTCTCCCTCCCTCCCAAACCCTAATTTATCTTTCACAAATCGAATCTCAATCAGGTAACAATCACTGCCTTAGATCTCAAATCGTTGCATTCAGTTTGCTCTTTCGTTATTTTCAATCCAAATTCACATCTCTTTTATTGTTTAATCACCGTGATTTTCGTTTGAATCTAAATCCTCGTAATCTGATTTTAGTTTACTACTGCGTGGATCGACAATTTTTTAATGCTTTTGATTATCAAGTAGGTTTAGTGGGCTGCAAGCCTAAGTTTGATTCAAATGACTCAGTTTTCTCAAAATGGGAGTGGAAGCAGCATGTTTTTTAATAAGCGCTTTGGGCTTTGGTTCTATATTACATTTGAATTGTTTCCATGGTATTCATTTATGATGGTTGTTGTGGTAAGTGGAGTAATTGCTTATGACGCTCTTATGTTTTTTTTTTTACCTGCAGTAGTTTGCAATAGTGACTATCTATGTTGGTTTCTTAAGCATTGCTGTTCAATAATCATCAAGACATTTGAGAACAAGAATGGATTCTGAATCTGCTGATACACCACCTCCATCTGTTAAAGCTCCTGATACACAACATCCTCCAGCTGCTGCTGATCCCGTGCCTGAGAATCCTGCAAGTGATGCGCCATCAAAACTCTCTGCAGCTGGCATAACGTCATGGGCCAAAAGTTTAAAAATCCCCCAGCCATTGACTTCCTCGCCAGATGACTCACCAACTAGCAACGCTGGAAAATCAACCTTTGCACGTTTTACTAGTGGATTTGGACTGCGCCTGTCTCCAAAATCTCCTGCAGCAGATGATAGTCCTGAAGGAACTTCAGCAACTTCACAATCTGGCTTATTTGGAACAATCACTAAAGGGTTAGTTGATACATCTAAGAATGCAGTGAAGGCAGTGCAGGTCAAAGCTCGGCATGCTGTCTCTCAAAATAAGCGAAGATATCAGGTAGGATGATGGCTGCTGTAAAATTGTTGTAGTCTTGTGTAACGGGATCATATATTGCTTTCCTTTTGGTTTCATTCTTGTTCTTTCTGTGTTTTGCTTAAAATTGCTTCCATGATTTCTTGGTGGGGATTCTTTTTTAAACAATTTATCCGAGAAGAGATATTATGTTCTGAAACTACATAAATTGTTCGTACCCTTTATTTTTCTGTTGACTATCTTTGTTGTTTACTTTGTTATTGGCGTAGCATATCTTTTATTGAGGGTGTCTGAGATAGAAGTTGCTCATACATGTTTAGAAATTGAGCCGCATTCCTAATTGACACCTAGCTTACTGGGATTTTATGAATATAGGATCACAAGGGTAAAGTCACAAGAAGGATAATTCATGCTTATTTTGTAATAGTTTATCTTCATTTAGGATTTTATTTTATTTTCAGCTTTACATCTGATGATAATTTTGGGTGTATCTCTCTCTCCAGGAAGGAGGTTTTGATTTGGATATGACATATATCACAGAGAATGTAATTGCCATGGGGTTTCCTGCTGGTGATATGAGTTCTGGTTTTTTTGGATATGTCGAGGTAAGCTAGTCAATTTGAACTGTAAAGTAGCCATATTGTTGTAATTAAATATTTCACTGTTAATGCATCATGCTATCTGATGCAGGGATTCTACAGAAACCACATGGAAGAAGTGATCAAGTTTTTTGAAACCCATCACAAGGTAATAATGCATTCAGTGATATGTATGTTATGTCTTTCTCAATTTTTTTTTTTTTTAACTTTATACTGCTTTGTTCCATGTCAACTATTGTAACATGCATTCATTTGATAATTGGCTTGTTCATTGTTGGGAGATTATATTTTATGTGACAACACACTTTACCATAGAACTGTTCTGTTTCATTTTGTCAATATTTTCTGCTTGGAAGGGAGTGGCGCTTGTCCTGGTTGATGCAATGTGCTGCACTTTCTGCTTAATTTGGAATCTGACATTGAATTGTACAAATCATCTAAATTCATGCATGTGTGATTTGGATCAAGTGGCTCCATGCATGAAATTTGTGGTTAGCAATCTATGCATGCAACATGCCTTCTGAGTTTCAGCTACAGTTGCATTCATTGATAGTTTCCCTCTTGATAAGAATGCTGAGTTCCACTTCATGTGATCTTAATTTGCTGTCCTCCTTTCAAAGATGACTCTAGCTAATGGGTGGTTATAAGTTATATCTTTTACTCTATGTTGCTAATATAGTTGTTTTTTTGGGGCCATGCTCAGCTCTATTTAAATAAAAAAGACACCTTTTGGTTCTGAAGTTAGCTTCTCCATTCATGAAGCTGTTGAATCTTAATCTTTATTTCATTTCTAGTATCAAAATATTCTGTTTTAACTTTGATTCACTTTCTATGTGCAGGACAAGTATAAAGTATACAATCTTTGTTCTGAAAGGCTGTATGATGCATCATTGTTTGAAGGAAAGGTGAATGCAACATTACCTATTTTGTTGTTTCATGTTTAATGTCAATCTTGCTGAGGCTGTTCCTGATATGGACTAAGTGCCTGGAGGAAAGCCATATGGTTGATTCTTATATCTTCTATGTTGAACACTTGCATCAGGTGGCTAGTTTTCCATTTGATGACCACAATTGCCCCCCAATTCAGCTAATAACATCATTCTGTCAAAGTGCTTACTTGTGGTTGAAGGAGGATATTGAGAATGTCGTGGTTGTGCACTGTAAGGCTGGGATGGCACGAACAGGGCTGATGATTTCTAGCCTTCTTCTTTACTTAAAGGTCAGATATATGACAAATTCCTTAATAAAGAGGAATTGGAAGGGACATAGAGTGACATACTTCTGTTTTCTGGCTGAGATTCATCTGTAAACTCATTTTCCATCTTTATGCAGTTTTTCCCTACCGCAGAGGAGTCTATTGACTACTACAACCAGAAGAGGTGTTTTGATGCAAAAGGACTTGTTCTGCCCAGTCAAATTGTGGGTTCATTATTGCATTTATTTATTAAAAAATGCACATTGAGGATACTTCCTCTATATGTTGAGGTTCTGTATTTCTTGTCTAAGTTTTTCTTTCTTTTTTGAAGAGATATGTAAAATATTTTGAGCGTATCTTAACATACTTCAATGGAGAAAGCCAGCCTGGGCGTAGGTATACTTCTGGTTCAATGTTTTTTTTTTTGTTGCAAGCATCTATGTTTTTGTTGTTACTGACAACACCATTTAAGCAGGTGCATGCTCAGGGGATTTCGGCTTCACAGGTGCCCTTATTGGATCAGGCCGTCAATTACCATCTCTGATCATAATGGTGTGTTTTGTTATTTATGCTATGCCTTTTTTATTTAGCTTGGCAATCCATTTGACCTCAAGAAGGTCAATGTCTGCTCATTTTGTTCAAGTTGTTCCCCCTTCATACTTTATTATAAAAAATTAACTGGGTCTGCTCTATTTGATGGTTTTATTTGTGTATATTTAGCTTATTGATTGATCTGACCTTATTCTCAGATATGATTTCTTTTTTGTGAACTCTGTAACCTGTCTGTCTTTGTCTTTTGTAATGTTTAGTTTGTAGGACTACATTGCATAGGCTTGGGTACTAGCTCCCTTTTGTTTCTCTATCTATTTCTTTCTTAATAATATTTTGATGAATTGAAAGACAGCTATAGACTCAATCCTTGCCCAATTCTAACATGTGTGTGTGTCTGCCACTCAAGCTTATGAGTGTATACACTTGTAGAAGAGGTATATCCATAGTACATTGAGATTGGGCATATAATTTTTGAATAAAAATAAAGGCAGCCCAAATTTTAGTGAAAATAATACACTACCATGCTACCTTTAGTTTGGATTTCTCTAATGCTCTCCCATTCACAGGTGTTCTCTTCTCCTCAAAAAAGCATCCCAGAACCAAGGATTTGTCGGTAGGTCTCCTTGGGTACATGGCAGCAATAAGTAACGTGTCAACAACACTCCATTAAAAGTTTTCTTTTGGATCGCTTTGTCCATCCCAAGATTTTTTTAAAATTTATTCTAAACTCTGCTTCATCCTTGTAGGCATTTGAGTTTTCACAAATGCTTCTTTCCTTCTGCAGCCAGAAGATTACTGGTTTAGTGCTCCCAAGAAAGGGGTTATGGTATTTGCTTTGCCAGGGGAGCCTGGTCTGACGGAGGTGACTGGAGACTTCAAAGTTCATTTTCATGACCGCCAAGGGGATTTTTACTTGTACGTTCCCTGGTCTTCTCCCTTGTGAATGGATCTCTTTTTAGATTTTAAGAATAGAAAATGAAGTGCTTTACTTGTGCTCCTTTGGAATTTCAGTTGGTTGAACACGCAGTTTATGGAGAACAGAAAAATCTTGAACACCAGTGATATTGATGGGTTTGATAAGGTAAAGGACCTTGAACATTTTGTTGTTAATTTTTTATCTGAAAAATTGCTTGTCCTTGGAGCAGCAATAACTAACTAATTGTGGATAGCTTGATTTTATTTATTTATTATTAACTAGAGTGAGAATGGCTGTAACTTTGTTGATATCAATGTTTTCAACATTCTCTATCTACATAATAATATGGCTGGATTTTTGTGCAGAGGAAACTGCCTTCCCCAGGATTTCAGGTTGAGGTTGTGCTAGTAGATTATGATGGCACTGTTTCAACCAGGTCAAATGTTGAAACTGCTGTGAAGAAATCAGATGAAGGTTCAAGTACTGCTCCTGCATCAGTTGATGCGGGCACAACTGCACCAAACCAAAATAAAGACTCAGCAAGTAATGATAAAGATGATGTGTTCTCGGATAGTGAGGCAGAGGAATCAGTATCTTCCAAACAAAAGCAGGCTCAAGCATCCTCTGCAGGGGGTGAAACAGCTGCCACACCTGCCCCTAGTTCTGGAACTGACAACAAAACAGAAAAAGTCGCCAGTTTAACCCAAGCAACTGAACAGTTTTCTGTGGGAAACACGGGCTCCCAGCAGTCGCATGCCCCCGCCCAGCCTAAAATTGAAGCCGTGGGTGGAACTGTTTCAAGCCTTGAGGCTAACAACACCCAGAGTGAATTCAAGGCAATGGCTGCTGATGCATCTGTTTTTACCTTTGGAGATGATGAAGACTACGAGAGTGAGTGAGCAAGGAGGAGCACTCGTGTCCCTCCTGCAAAGATCTGTACATAAATCAGTTTGCTGGTCATGCGCTTACCTGTTGGTGATGTGTTCCGCCTAGGTCTTTATCTGGCTTGTTATTTTTGGTTATTCAAAAGGCAGGCTGGAGGCGACAATAATCAGTGCATTATTTTGTGGCATCAGATTTTAGTGGGAATTGTTTCATTACTTTTATTGAGAAAAAGTTGTACTGCTCTGTACATTAGTAAATTGATATTATTTGGAAAGGGTTATAAGCAAATTTGCTTCTGCTTCTTCCTTTGAATTTCAAAAACATACGCTGTTCTGTGCCAGGCTCTTCCGCCGGCTGCCCTCGAAAACAATTTCACGGAAATCATGGGTTTGCCTACACGGCTCGCGACCTGGTTCTTGCTTTTGTTCGAGATTGTGACCGTCAGCAAAGAGCCACGAACAGAACAGCCCAAGCCCATTGCTTTATCTGCACGTGAAGAATAGTATTTAACCTCATTATTGGCAGACCTGACCATTTCAGCTACTTGGATCATCGCTGTAAGACATCGTCTTGGTCAATGTCAATAAAAGACGCAGTGAAGGTGGGCCTTCTTTTCGTTCTTTTTTGAAAAATAATGAAGGTGGGCCCCCTAGTTGCCTTCCAGATTGTACATGTCCTGGGTCAGCAGGCTGTATCTCTTAATTTAAAGAACAGATACTTAAAACAAAACATTGTGCTCACTTGTTTGTAGCTGGTGAAGTGATCTACAATTATTCCAAGGAATAATCTAATTTTATGGCTAAGAATGTGTCGTATTTGGTAACCTTATTTTGTTCATTGAAAAATTCTTTGTTCAATAAACTTTAATGGATCTATATAATCGAACCGGTCCTCTCGATTAGTTAGGTTTTGATTTCTAAATCTCCATTCCTTTTCTCCCAGGCCTTAATCTAGAATCACCGAAAATCTTATGAGTTTTTCTTGCATACGATAAAAGAATTGAAATTCAAACCTGAGAAATGACTCGGTGTTATAAAAAATCGAAGGTATAATTTGAAACTCTTGACACTTGTTGCTGGAAATACATTGTGTGTAAGATAATGTTTGTTTTAATGTTAAAAAAATAAAATTTTAAAAATAAAAAAATAATAATTTAAAAAACAAACATTAATAATAGGGTTGGAATAATTAATACGTCTTATCTTTTTAAAAATTATATGGAAATACTGCAAATCATATTTATAAACATTTTAATTTTTTTTGTTAAAAATAATTTTTTTTGTATATTTTAAATTATTTTGATTCATTAATCTTAAAAATAAATTCTAAAAAATAAAAAATTATTTTAATATAAAAAATACTTTAAAAAACAATTATAAATATATTTTTAAAAAGATCCAGATAAACAAGAAGAAGTCATCTCCCTTTTTTTTTATTTCCAATTTCTACCTCTACTCGGACAAGAAGAATACTTTTAATTTTTTATAATAATAGAAAAACTCAATGCTATATTTTTTTTTCCAGAAAAAAATTAAGCAAGAAAACGTTGACATCAACTTAAAAGAAAGAAGAAGAGGGGGCTGAATCTGATTAGGCAGGAGACTCGTGGCCAAAAAGAAAGAGCGTGTCACTGACGAAGGCGCGTAAACCAGTTTCCAAACATTAAAAACGAAATTACCCAGAAAATCACTGCAGTTTTTCTTTCTTCAACTCTAAGGACCCGTGAAAAAACAACCAGACACGCCCTGACGCGCATATATAAACGTGCTGCTTAGAACCAAGCTGCCATTGATTAATCAGCCTCGGACGTGGTTTTATTTCAAAGTCAACCGTATTGTGGATAAATATTACAAGCCTCCTCCTTTTTCTTCTCTCATATCTATCTTTGTAAAATGTCGGTTTCTGGTATTCAAGGCCATCTTCTTGAAGTCACCGGTATATTTTTTCTCTTAATTTTGTTTTATTACACGTGATTAAGCAAACCCTTTATTTCGTTCTTCTTTTTGTGTTTTGAAATTGATTGTTATTTGTTATTTGTTTTTTTATGCAGTTGTTGGGTGTACTAAATTGAAGGACACTGAATGGATCTCGAGACAAGATCCTTACGTTTGTGTTGAATATGGTAGCAATAAGTTTCGCACTAGAACCTGCACTGGTACTTAATCTTCTATTACTCTGCACATAGATCTCAATCTGGCTTTAATTTGAAGTTTATTTTGAGCAGAACTGGTGTTTATAATGATTGGTTTTTTTAGATGGAGGCAAAAATCCTACATTCCAAGAGAAGTTTGTCTTTACACTAATTGAAGGGTTAAGAGAGATAGGTGTTGCTGTTTGGAACAGCAATACCCTAACTTTTGATGATTTTATCGGCAGCGGAAAGTAATTAGTCTTCAACCTCTTTTACTTAATTATGCTTTTCTCTGTTGATCCTTTTGGCTTTAATTTGACTTTGATTTTTTTTTTGTTTATGTTACTGTGTATAGGATTCAATTGCAGAAGGTTCTATCGCAGGGTTTTGACGATACAACTTGGCCACTTCAAACTAAAACTGGAAGGTAATTATAACTGCAATTTGCATGATTTAACTGCGAAAGAGGATCGGTCTAGCTTTATCTGTTAAGTTCCCTTTCATTGAATGCCAATATTCTGAAATAGTGATTTCTGTTTGATTAGAATGGGGCGATTAGCTTCTTTTGAAAAACATGTGTTCTGATTTTGATGGTTTGTACATAGAATTAATGCTGGATTGGTAAAGTTGGGGCCTGAGCCCGAGACTTTTTGTCTCCGGTTTTGCAAGAGTACTAATGAGATACCATTTGGTATATTGCGTTGAATTCATATCAAAGAAGGAAAATGAAGATTTTAGACATTGAATTGGATGTCAGTTAGAGTGCATTTCTACAGATACGAGATTTTTTTGCATTGAAAAGCTGTTGTATGATTTGATTTTGTGGTGATGTTATACCAATATTGGAAATCAATTGCAAATTAATTTCGGTGCTTTCCACTCTATTTACTTTCAGTTTATCAACTTTTATGTGGTAGATTTCTTCCCACTGGCCACTGAATGCTATTTCTTGCAATTTGGTGAGGTTTCTCCGGCTGTATGCATTCATTTTGGTGAGGTTCTTCCATCTGTATGCGTTCAACTTTGTGAGGCAAAGATGGGGAAGAAATGACCACTCAAGTTTGAAACACAGGACTAGGATATTGCCTTAATGCTTTGTGGAGGATGTCGTCTTTCCATTTTGAGGCTGAAAGAATACAACTCTCTGCTTCTCTTTAGAGTGACCATATTATTTTTGGGGCAGATATGAAGTGGCTCATATGCATATTTCATCCTTATACTATGTTTGTTTAGGAGGGTTGAGGGGTAGAGAAGGAAAAGATGGGGTTAAAACCCTCCCCATCTTTGTTTGGTTTTCACTATTAAATGGAAGGAAAGGTGGGGTTTGGAGTGTTCAAACCGTTCAAATAAATTAAAAATCTTAACACCCCAAATTAGGGTGTTTAGTGGGGTTAAGATTATTAAATGACACAAATAACCCCTACTAAGAATAAGAAATGTTTAATGGGGTTAAGATTATTAAAATGACACATAATCTTTACTAAGATTAAAAAACTAACTACTTTTTACCCATTAAGGCTATTTTTGTAATTCAATAGTAACTCTTACCTTTTTTTTTTAATCTTCATTCCCTTCCTTTCCATTCCATTCCCTTGCATAACCAAAAAATAAGTGTTTAGGGAACTTGGTAGTGCGGCGTGGTGTGGTTGGAACTGTGTTTTCCACCAATCATAATTTTAAAAGTGTGGTTAATCAACACACACCACGGTTTTGCATGGGTCATACTAAAAACTCTCTTGAAACCTTGGTTAACAAAAAACTACAATTTGTAGCTTTTCTTAGACCTACATTTTCAAACTGCAACCCCAAAAACTACCATAATGCCAAATGCACACCAACCCCACCCTTCCATCCAAACATGGTGTTAATAAATTTTCACAACCCCTCCATTCCTCTACCAAATTAGTTAGGCTAATTTCATATCCCACAAAAAGTTGCATTGGTACTCCTGGATTAGATATCAATAAACCAAATATGCTGCGTCATTGATAACAGACGCATGCACTGCCATGTTTTTGCTCCAAATCATGATGTGTGAGTTCACTGGTTACGTATGTATTTCGCCTGTTTGGTACTAGTCTCATAGCACATCTTTTCTGTGCATTTGTTTTTTCCCGTGATCACAGGTATGCTGGAGAAGTAAGATTGATAATACACTATGCAAATGCCAATGTAAGCTATCTCTATGATGCTGTTACAACTTACAATTACATATACTGAAAGTGCTCTTATCTTTTATGAAGATTTTTGATTGGTGGAAGCTGAATAACTGTGTATTATTTCTTGCAGAAAGCAGCAGCAGGCTATGCTCCTTCAGCACCACTATATGGAGCCCCTGCTCCTCAAGTCTCATATTACTCTGCACCACCACCAGCACATGGAGCTCCTTATGGACAACCATCGACAGCATACACAGGTTCATCTCCTTATCCATCATACCCTCCTAGTTCAGCTTATCCACCATCAGCGTATCCCCCACCACCAGCTGCAACTTATCCTCCTGCACCGTATCCTGCTCCTTCAGCATATCCTCCACAACCATATCCACCTCCACCTCAAGCTTCACCCTACTATCCTCCAGGTAACTGAACGGTTCATTTTCGTACTTAGAGAGTCAAAGACTGATATTCTTTCTGGTAATAATGTTAAAATAACCATTTTGACTCTTTTTTTTCCCCCCTCCAGGCCCGTTTCCTGGAATCTATCCTCCACCACCGCACTAAAGTGATGCTTCAGGATGTCCAGTGTGAAGAAGCAACAAGTAGAATGAACTGCTTTGTAAAGAACACTAGGTTTTAGTGATGCTAGTTTTTCCTCCACCTTAAGGAGTTCTTTATATTTCTTGACCAAGTATTTTCCATGGATATATCTCACTTTGCAAGATAATTTTATTACTCGTTGTGTGCTTTCTTGGGCTGTTAATGACCAGCTGTCGCAGCGTGTTTCAGTAATATAAAGAGTTCAGTGTCCTTTCATTCAGAGACTGCTTTAGATCTTCCTGCTGCTATGCTTGTGCTCCAACTTTAGTTTTCATCATCCGTATGTTATTCCTCCCACACGCACACAGATGAACACTCGTGCACAAACACAAACACAGAGATACATACCCGCTCCTGGGATCTTGCTCTAGACAAACAACAGGCTGAAACCAGCCCATCAATGCGAAGGTAAGACCGTGGTAATGTTTGATTAGCAGTTCAGATCGTCTCATGTAAAAAGGATATTTAGTCATCTGTAAGACAAGATGATACCGGTTATCGCCCTTGTGGGTTGAGCTTTATTCGAAAACCTTGGATTAGTGCCCTTTCAAATTAAGTTCTCAGCTGATGCATCTCGGATTGCAGTGACCCTAACGTCACCAAGCTTTAGGCACCCCAAGTATCTCTTTTGATACTTGTAATGCGATTAATTATCCATCACTAAAAGCTTACAGCAAGGACTTAATTTTTTTTAAAAGAAAAAAGAAGGGGAGGAAAACCCAAAATCTTGACAGATGGGCTTGCAATTTGTTGTGGGATAAGCATTGACAGGGTCAGACTTCACAGCCAGTGTCTAAGAATATTACCGGTTTTATCTTTAATCAAATTATTAGGTGAGTGGTTGCTTTCAATCTTGAAGTACAGTATGAGTAGGTGCTTTCTCTGTTGATTTAAAGTATAAATCTTTATCGTTAGAGCTCATCATTTTTACCTTTGCATTGATGGGATGGGTTAACTAGAAGCACTTGCTTCAGGAGATGCATGCGTTAATTGGCCTGTCTTTCGGTTAGAATCTCTAGTATTAATCCTACGTCCTCTTCCAGCATTTGATCATAATCATCACCCTTTAACTTAATCGATCGAGATCTTCCAGCATCATTAATTATGAGCACTTGTAAATCATTGGCTTTGCGCTGGGTCTGGACTCTGGAACATACAATGTCACAGTCCAAATGTATCTGATATCTTTGGGTTTTCTAAAAAATTAGTTTATTTTTTTAATATTTTTGGATGTATCAAAAGTAATATTTTAAAATAAAAAATACTTTTAAAAAATTTAACTATTATTACATATCCAAACACATGTATGCTCATAGTGGCTACCATGTGACTAGTTATTCGAGGATGAGTCAAAGGTGCCAGGTTCAGCTTGGCACTTTATTAAGTAGTTGCGCGATGGATAGTACACACAGTTTTCTGGGGTCACAGGCAAAGTGAGACATCATTGGTGAGTTTGAAAGGTTTTAGTTATAGTGGATGACAAATTTACCTCTCTCTAACTAGCGAGCGCTTTGTGGTTTGATTTTTGAATCTTTAAAGCAGCCATTGTGAACGAAACACAATAAAAATAAAAACCAGCCACAGTCACCAAAAAGCTGGAGGTGCTTGGAAAGCATGGTGCTATGTCAACAACAGATCAACTTAACGTTTTCATTTTTATTCACTAAAAGTTGATTTAATCGCCATGGTGTATTGTTATTAGACCTGGTCTTTCATAAATGCCCTGGCTATATTATGATGTCGAGAGCCATGGAACCAGGTACTGATTCGGACTTGGCTAGGTGGTTAAAGTTGGTATTCACCTTGTTTATGTCCCCATTAATTGAATTGTACTTGTGAAATTATAGTCTACAAGGAGAGAATGCTATAATTTACTAAAATTTGCCACGATATTACCATTTTTCCTGTCAAAAAACAACGATAACGCCGGAGACTCACAGAAGCCCTGCCATGGTGGATTGATTCTCATTACTCGAGATATCATTTGGTGCGTGGGAAAGTTTTGTTTAGAACCAAATATTGGAGAGGTAAACTCGGTGCTAAAGATTGTTAATTTTGACTATCAACAAGGAATATATTACAGCTAATTCATGATGCTTATGATGAAAAGGTGGAGTGCGATTTGCTGACGAATAACAGTGCATCGACTCTTGCCAAGACGGGCGAGATTACGACCAAGAAATTTCCCTCCTCGACTCCTTGATTTCAAGATTAATGCCACTAGTAAAAGAGAATCTACATGGAAGTGGGACTCGAGCCATATTTTTTTGCATCATTGCAAGTGGATGCTTGAAATAGATCCAAGATGCAAGCTACCAAAATTACTCTGGGGAAGAGTACTAATTGTTACCATATCTGTGGTGTCGTCTCGGAATTTAACTTCTGTCTACATACGAGAAGAAGAACTTTTGGAAGTTCCTCGGTGTTAACTTCTGTAAGGTCAATAATCCCTTTTGTCCACTACGTTGTTTAATAATTCTACATGTGTTAGGTGCATTTAAAAAAAGAAGAAGATGAATTTACTTCCCAAGAAATGTAAATCGAGATGCGGAAATTGTTCAAACACATGATCATGCTCTTCGATTCTTAGGAATATAGTGTTGAAAAATGCCCACTGGTTCAAACTGTTGATAGTCTCTCAACAGTCACCCACTGCGTTGAAAAATGGGAACGAGACCAATTATGTTGACCGTGACAATGGTGGCATGATTCATCTGCTTGATTGAGATTAAAATTATAATTTCTTATTAATCGAGGAGATTAGTGGAGTTAGCTGAAGCATATGCATCGTGAGAGCAACTTTGAATGTGCATAATTGATTGGTGCCGCGATGTGATTGTTTTACGGAAATATATTTACATCACAAAAACATTAATTTATATTTTCTCTGAATATTTTTATATCCTTATAACAAAAAAACCTAAAATCATTCAAAAAAATTAAATTAATTATTTTTCAACACTATGCGCTTAAAAAAAATATTAACTAATGGAATCAATTAATCTAATCACAAACGAGTATAGATTAATTTTTTTCAATTTTTAAAGAACTAAATTAAATTAATTTTAATTTTAAACCAATCACAAGTATAGATTTTTTTTTTTTTTTATGAAATCATTTTTTTTTTTTTGCTTGAAATATAAGTTAAGGTAACAGTACTCTAGTAACAGCATTTACATGATTACATTAAACAGGGGGAGATTTTGATTCCATTGACACCCACAAAATCTTTTATAGTACATTTGCAATATTACCTGTCCTTACTGTGGCAGCAGAGGAAAAAACAAACAGAGTTGATCTTACATAATTGATGCCGAAAAGAAGTCAAAACAAATAAAAAGCTGGAGTGAAAAATAGGAAGAGGCCAAGAGAGGGTGAACTTTCGAGTGCATGCCACTTACCCAAGAAAGAGGAGGGTACACCTTATCATGGTGGTTCTAAGGCTGTCACTGGCCGCACCGCAGACGACCAGACACCATCAAATTTAATGACTTTTCTTTCCTGTTTTTTCTTAGTCCAGATTTTTATTTTTTACTTTTAAATTCGGTGACCAAGATGGGAGTGAGAGTCAGCTTCTTTATCTTTTTTTTTGCGTGTTGTTCACCACACGCAGTTAAAGACAGTGAATCTAACGGACAGGTAAGGTAGTTGACTTCATGTCCTGGGTTCGTGTCGAGTGGCAAAGGAATGTGTGAGTCCGCGTGGATGGAAAGTGCTCTGGCTTGTTCGTTCTCTTGCATGGCTTGTCTTTTGGGAATTTCCTTCGTCGGTCCACCTAGCAAACTAGAAGATTTCGAGCTCAAAATCTTCTCGTGATTTTTGATCACCCCTTTAAAATCGACGGTGATTGGGCGGAATATTACCTTGCTTTACTGTGAATGTCAATTGATGAAAACAATATCCATAATTATTATTAAACAAATCATAGATTGAGAATATGTAAATGCATAAAAATTGTCTTGTGAGCAATAATAAATGCAGATGACAGTGGATGGCTTATGAACAAGTTTAGAATCATATACTAATCAAAGCACATGAAATGATGATTTTAAAACCAATCTGTAATCCTAACAATTGGAAATTCCAATATCGTGTTTTTAACTTGATGGAAGCTCGGTGTGTCTTCTATAATAGCACATCTTAATCCTACAATATTATTATTTTAAAAATAGTTTTCATTAAAATATAATTTTTTTATATAAACAAATTAAAATAATCTAAAACTATATATAAAAAATAATTTTCCAAGCACCCTATATCACTGACATGGCGAGTCGAAAACTCTAATACCAAGACCAAAATCCCTGCGTGTCCCTCTATCTTTCTCAAATCCTAGAGCAGCAAAGAGCACGGTGGCTTTAAAGAGGTTCGGGCTTGATGTGTGTGCAGTTTCGCACATTTTCTGCTCGCCAAACAGAACACACCGAAAGCACAAAAAGGATAAAAACTAAAAAGACTTTCAAACCAAACCCAAACACATACCTTCAAGTTATACTATTATATATTGCCACAATAAGAGAAAAGAAAAACAGAAAACAAAAAGAGACAAGCGTGAAATCCACCCTGTTAAAAATCAACCCCTTCCTATTTCTTTCTCTCCTCTCTTCCATCCCCTCTTCACTCCCTAGCTGCCACTCTCTCTATCTTGCACCCACAGAGAAAAAAAGACCCTCAAGAAAAAGAAGAGAGAGGGAGAGAGGGACAATGGGTTCTTATTTGTGTATTGAATAGTGTACCAAAACCTCTTCTTCTTGGAAGAAGATGGCAATACCAAAACAACAAGAACTAGAACAAAATGAACTAAACTCACAACAAGAACAAAACGCTTCATTCCAGCTAGATGCACTCTACTGTGAAGAGGGGAGATGGGAAGATGAATCAGAAGAAGAGGTTTTGCAAGAGAGTACTTTTGTGAATGATCTTTTTCCACTTTCATTGCTTGAACAAGATTTGTTCTGGGAAGATGAGGAACTTCTTTCACTCTTCTCTAAAGAAGAAGAACAGCAAGCTTCTGTTAGTGTCAACAATGTAGCAGACGATCCTTTTCTTTCCAGGGCTCGTCAAGAAGCCGTGGAGTGGATGCTTAAGGTCATTGCTCATTATGGATTTTCAACTCTCACATCAATCTTGGCTTTCAATTATCTTGATAGGTTTCTTTCTGGCCCTTGTTATCAAAGAGATAGTAGGCCTTGGATGATCCAGCTTGTGGCTGTCACTTGT